CTGAATTCTCTGTCATTTAAGTTGCATATTTCTATGTCTGTAAGCTTATTTGCTGGAGATTTTTCTTTCTTTCTGAGATGCCTTGTCACCTTGGTTTTTTATGATGTTTAATGGATTATTTCTCCGCCTGGGCATTAATGGAAATGTAGTCTGCTTTTTTCCAGAAAGAATATTTATTATATAAAGATCTCTTTTTAGCCTGCTGCAAAGAAGGCGCTTTTCTTTTGATTTCCAATAGGTGGTGTCTGAGCCTCTTGGATCACTGCTTTATATTAAGCCTTACTAATGCCTTTATATAACGCCTTTATTTTCTTGTAGATATTTAATCACACTCGGTACCCTCAGTTTCAGTCCCTGTCAGTGTTAGCAACAATTTTGCTCAGATTCCCCTGGTGCTCCGTGGTGTTCATCTCAGTGGGTATGGGGGAGGGGCTCTCTGGGTTGGGAGTTGGGGGCTGCGGCTCAGCCTCAATTTTGCAACCATGGCTGGTAAAATTCAACTGTTGTTTTTCTTTCGTCCCCGCTTTTCTATTTTGCTTCTCTTCCTTCTGCTCTGATGACTGGGCCTTTCCGCCACCTGTGGGGAGCTCAAAACTTTCCCAGGCAGGGCTGTTCAGGGAATTCTTAGCTCCTTCTCCACTCCCCCTCCTCCTACAGGTAGCTCTGGCGGCTGCGAGAGGCAACTTCTTTATTTCTCCCAGTTCACTGCCCAACACCCGGGGTTCAGACCTGTGGTAGCTCTTATGCGTGGATCCCACGCTCAGATATGCTGGTGTGCAGTTTGGGTGTTTTTTTGTTGAGTTTTAGATGTTCAACTTATTGTTATTTCAAGTGGAAAGATCTGAGGACATCCTTCACTCCGCATGTTTCCAAAGATCTCCAAATATGTATTTTTAATCCAACTGTCTTTTTTCTTTTTAAATTAAATATCCTATTTATATTTTAATCATTTTCCCTTCTTTATTGAAATATAATAATTAGATGCTCGTATTTACATTGTACAAGTCAATGAGTTTTTTTTTTTTAATTATAAAGGCAGACAATAATGTACCGGTTTCAGTTGTATAGCACAGTAGTCAGAGATCCACATAACTCGTAAAGTGATCACCCCACTAAATCTAGCACCCCTCTTCCTCCTTACATGTTTATCACAACATTATTAACCATCTTCCCCATGCTACATTCTACATCTGTTCTTTAGACATGTATGCAAAATCATGTGATATTTGTCTTTCTCTATCCAACCCATTTCATTCAGCACAATACCCTCTAGGTCCATCAAGGCAATATCATATCTTATCTCCTTCCTTTTAGTTTGTGTGTATCCTTTAATCTGAAGTGAGTCTCTTGTAGGCAGCATATGTAGGGGTCTTGTTTTATTATCATTTTATTAAGTTTATTGGGGTAACACTGGTTAATACAATCATATAATTTTCAGGGGTACATTATCCT